GCCGGGCTGCTCCCCGGGGACACTGGGGGGCCTGCGGGGGCCTGGTCCGCCGGGCTGCTCCCCCGAGACACTGGGGGGCCTGCAGGGGCCTGGTCCGCCGGTCTGCTCCCCGGGACACTGGGGGGCCTGGGGGGCCTGGTCCGCCGGGCTGCTCCCCGGGGACACTGGGGTGCTGTGCGCAGGATTCCCCCCGGGTGGTAAGGCACTCCCCAATTTGTGGCAAAGACCATTGCGTGCATCTAAGCCAAGCAGCCTAAACAGTTCCGGGAGCAGATGCTCCGTGAAGCAGGCGCAGAGCGTGGCCTGGCGATGCGATTTGTCTCATCTTCACGGTGCCTCCGTTTCTCGCATTTAAAGTAAAGTAATTTGGGTGCTTACAGTCCTCGGGCTTGTAATTCATGGACAGACCTTGAGTTTCAGATGCGAGGGTGTTCTCAGCTGTCAAAGGCTCTTTTGGGGGTTCCCCAGTTCCTTTAGGTCTGTGGATAGATACATACATACACACCCATGTATGTGCATATGGTGCTAATTAATGCACTTTAAGGCAGAAGAAAAGGAAAGTACTTGATGTGATTTTTTTTTTTAGTTTGAGTTCATCCAAAACATATTTTGATAGCAAAATAATAATTAGTGGCTATCTCATTTTTCGCCACACTATTTTCCCGCGTGGATGCCAAAGTCTTGCTTTTCAATGTAAAAGGAATAAAAGTAGTTTTGTTCAGGCCTCCTTGGTGGTGCAAGGGGTTAAGTTACAGCACTATGAAGCTGTCTGCAGCCACTGCAGCCTGAGTTCAATCGCTGGCCAGGGAGTGACCCCCATGGTGTGACAGACCTCTCCAGTCTCCCCACTGCTCCCCTCCGCAGTGTGCTTCCTCCATCTGCCTGTTCTGCTCCCCACTCTGTCTCTGGTGACCTCTCACCCTCTGTACCTCTGGCCTGCACCCCAGTTCTCACCTGCATAAATAAATAAATCTTTAAAAAAATTAGCTTTGTTCTTGCGAGGTTTTAATTTCCCTTCCATGTGGTAAAGGTCTCTGAGCAAACACACAAAACTGCTGTGCTGTTTAAGTGAAAATCAATTCTCCCACTTGAAGACAGAAGCTAGAAACATTTGTGTGTGTTTCGACTGCAGTTTCTGCATTGTCAGAAGACATTAAATATTGCATGATGATCGCTACCAGTTTGGATTGCCAGTGTCTGCAGTATTCTAAGATAAGTCGATGAGAAGGAAGTGAAAAAGGACGGAGGGCTAGAAAGCCTGGGTAGGAAGATGTGCGCCTCATCTTTATCACCAGGAAAATCGGATAAGCTCTTACTTGAGGGCATTAACTTGAGGGCATTAGCAGGGCTGCCTGGAAGTACTGGCTTCTATCTCACCTGGACGTGTTGTAAGATTTTATCTTCAGCACAGAGGAAAAGAACATTAAGGACATCTGTGTAGAATAGTGGATGCTACTTCATAAGTCTGCTATTGAACTCCCCCAAAAGTCTATTACGAACCACATCTTTTGTTTGTGATCAACATAGATTAGTTGAAATGAACGAGATCTTCAGTAAGGGGAGTAGCGTAAATCTGTCTGGCTGTCCAGCAGTCCATCAAGGCATCCACCCGTCCGAAAGTTAAAAGACTTTTAAAATAACCTTATTAAAAACCAAAGGAAAACTATCAGGGGGTAAAATCCCATTTGCAATAGAAAAAACAACCACAAAACTCTAGGAGCAAACCTAACAGCAAGAACAAAGGCAGGAGAGTTACATCAGCGAGAGATTGTAACCAGGCTTTGAAAATTCGAGAGTGATGTGTCCTGGGGTGGAAGATTCTGCATTTTAAATGTCAGTTCTCTTCACATTCCTTTGCGCTAATCCAAATCTCACCATGATTTTGAGAAATGATTTCCCAAGGAAAAAGTGAAACCTGGCAAGAAAAGATTCCATTCTCAAACCGATCCACATTCTGGAAGAGTCAGTATTTCACAAATGTATAGTGCTTCAAATCAGTGGGAAAATATGGATTATTTAATACATGGGACTGGGATAAATAGCTAATCATTTAGGGGGCAGGACCTGAAGTGCTTAACATTGAAAACTCTTAACATTGAAAGAGTTAAATGTAAAATATCATACTATATAAGACTAGAAAAATATATACCAATGTATTAAGTGTTCAGAGACACAGAAGTCTTTTCTAAACATGTATGAGGAGCAGAATTCATAAGAAAAAAGATGGGTGATGTTGAGTACAAATCAATGTAAAAACCTGTATGTAAAATATATATAAAATGCAAACCATAGAGAACCTGCCTCAGCGCGAGTTCCATCTCCGGCTAGGGAGTCACCCACATGGTGTGGCAGACCTCTCCTGACCCGCCCGCTGCTCCCCTCAGCAGTGTTTTTGTCCATCTGTCTGTTCTGCTCCCCACTCTGTCTCTGGTGAAGCCTCTCACCCCCTGCACCTCTGGCCTCTACCCCGGTTCTGTGTGCATAAATAAATAAATCTTTTTTTAAAAAGGGCTACTAGAAGATTCCCCTAAGTCCAAAGCTGAACAGGCAACTTCCACACAGTGAAAGAAGGTTGACATGTTTAGTTTCAAAGATTTTGATTTGCTTTCCTGCCTCCCAGCTTCAAACAGATGAAGGCAAAGGGCATTTAGAGGAAGGAGAATGGGTATTCTCATGCAGTTTTCAGGAGAGAATAAATTACTTCAAACTTTTGGGAAACAAGCTGGCTGTGAATCTGGGCACTCTGACAACGCACATAACCCCTGGTGGGGTACTTTGAGGCCTTTCATTTCAACAGTAGTTACAACACTGTTTTTTATTATTAAGAACTAAGAGCATCATAAATGTCTACAGGGCGAACTGGTTAGGCGATTTCTGGTAAATGCTCACACAACAGAAACCCACACACCTATCCGATCCGATGTGGATTCAACCAGATCACAGGGAAATCCGTTTTCAGAATGGCGACGCAGTATTCCGTTTATGTAAAGACACTATTTGGGGAAAAAGCCCTGGCAGACTATATCCAAATA